CTTCAGTGACTCCATCCAGCCACCTCCTTCTCTGTCGTCCCCTTCTTCTATTGCCCTCAATCTTTCCCAGCATTAGGCTCTTCTCCAGTGAGTCCTTCCTTCTCATTAGGTGGCCAAAGTACTTGAGTTTCAACTTCAGGATCTGGCCTTCTAAAGAGCAGTCAGGGTTGATCTCCTCTAGGACTGACCGGTTTGATCGACTTGCAGTCCAGGGGACTCGCAGGAGTCTTCTCCAGCACCATAGTTCAAAGGCCTCAATTCTTTGGCGCTCAGCCTTTCTTATGCTCCAACTTTCACAGCCATACAGCATCTTATGATTGAGAAGAATCTAGTCTCCTCTAGATTTTTCTCAACCTTTTAATTATTGGCCATGTTGATGAGGATTTGATGGGAGTTTCAGTCCCACAACAGATGATCTCCTGACTTGCAAATGTCTCCCCCTCCCCCCCCCAACCTGGCTCTGCTCCAGAGAAAAAAGAAAACTATAGACTGTTTTATCAGCACTGCCAATCAGAATGAATAACAAAGATACATAAAATCTCAACCACCCAAATCCTGCTCCTGTTATAACCTTTGTATCCTTTGGTCAACACGAAGCAGACAAAGCAGAAGGAAGCATAAAAGAGGAACGGAGGATTGTCTATTTTAACAACCTTTAAGATAATGAAGCATTTTAAAGTACCTTACATGACACTTCTTGGCTACTGCACCAGCCTGTAAGTGATGTAACGCCCGGCTGTTTCACTGGGCCGAATGATCTTCACCACCTGAAGAAACCACATAAACAACAGAAAAAAATATTCCGATTATTTTTTGGATTGGTTATATAATGAATCCGTGTGAGATGGCTGATGGACAGGATTTCATCATGCAATCTGTTATACAGATCAAACAGGTTCACCCTTCACCCAACCTGATCCCTCCAAGTATCCTGGATTTGGCAACTTTGGGCCAGACACTCTCCACCCAGCCTATCTCACAGGATTGTTGTTGTGGGGAAAATAGGAAGGAGTGTGTAAGCAATGTTTGCCACCTATGGATTTAGAGAAGAAGGCAGAAAAAAAAACACTGATCTAACAAAAGCCCAAGTGAACTGTATTAAAAGTCCATTTAATCCAAGTAGATGCCTCTGAGAAATATAAAAACCAAAAAATTCCTTCTCTTTTTCTCTCTCTCCCATCATAGGGATAATAATAATAATAATAATAATAATAATAATAATAATAATAATAATAATAATAATAATAATAATAATAATAATAATAAACAATTATAATAATAATAAAGTTGGAAGGGACCTTGGAGGTCATCTAGTCCAACCCTCTGCTCAGGCAGGAAACCCTATACCAGGGCTTTTCAACCTTTTCACCCCTTGTACCACTTTTAGGATATGGCAATATCCGAGTCCCACCAGTCGCCTAGCAAGGTGTTAAAAACTTGATGACCCAAAAAAAGGAAAAAAGTGATGAAGTACAGGTAGTCCTCGACTTACAACAGTTCGCTTAGTGACTGTTCAAAGTTACAATGGGACTGAAAAAAGTGCCCCCCAAGCCACAGCTGAGCAAGACACCCAGCGGCGCTCTTCCTCCTGTCCAAGGTTTTCATTGTTATGAGCATTTCTATTGAGGATTGGCAGCAGGGGTGGGGCGGGGGGATGTTTGGTTTTTATTCCCCCCGTCCGCTGGGTGGTTGCAGCAGGTTTTGGTCACTTCACATGACCTGGGATACTGAGACCGTCATAAATATGAATCAGTTGCCAAGCATCTGAATGTAAATCACAAGACCCTGGAGATGCTGCAACATTCCAGCTGATCGGCGCTTGTTCTGGGCTCAGCAGAAGCACCAGGATCAGCGCCGAGCTCCAGCTGGAGCCTGGCATTGATCCTGGCACTTCCACTGAGCCCTGACAGCCCCAAAGAAGCGCCAATCAGCTGGAAAGCGGCACTGATACTGGTGCTTCCGCTGAGCCCTGACAGCCCTGCAGCTCCAGCCATCTCTCGCTCAGGCTTGTACAGTGCTGCCACCGATTCAGCTCATTTCTCTCCCCCGCAACCACTTTTCTAGGATGGTCGCGTACCACCTGCCAGGTGCCAATGTACCACAGGTGGTACCCGTACCACTGGTTGAAAAGCCCTGCCCTATACCATTTTGGACAAATGGCTGTCCAGTCTCTTCTTAAAAACTTCCAGTGTTGGAGCATTCACCTCTTCTGGAGGCAGGTTGTTCCACTGGTTAATTGTTCTAACTGTCAGGAAATTTCTCCTTAGTTCTAGATTGCTTCTCTCCTTGATTAGTTTCGATCTGTTGCTTCTTGTCCTGCCTTCAGGTGCTTTGGAGAATAGCTTGACTCCCTCTTCTTTGTGGCAGCCCCTGAGATACTGGAAGACTGCTATCATGTCCCCCCCTCGTCTTTCTCTTCCTTAAACTAGACATACCCAATTCCAGCAACCGTTCCTTGTAAGTTTTAGCCTCCAGTCCCCTAATCATCTTTGTTGCTCTTCTCTGCACTCTTCCTGAGCTTCTATTTAGATATCAGAATTTATTACCACTTATAACCTCCATATACTGTATTTATCAAAGCCTTTGGGAAAGGACATATCCTCAGCCTCCCTTTCTCTGCTCCTTACCTGGCCTCTTTTAATTCCAAAATAGCGAGCCACAGGATCTCCAGCTTGTATTCTTGGAAGCTGATTCTCCCTTAGTTTACTGACAACAACAGTTAAAGAAAAAATTTCAAACCATGTAAAAACAGGACCTTTTTTTTTCTTTCTCTGCCAGGATCACAGTATATTTTGTTTTGTTTCACCCAACCTGTTAGTTAAGCTAAATAAAGTTGTTAAATTATGGTTTGGGGGAACATAGAAATCCAGGGCCTGTTTTAGCGTCATGAGTGAATCAAAGCTTCACTTTAAGCCAGGGGTAGTCAACCTTGGCTCTTTTATGACTCGTGGACTTCAACTCCCAGAATTCCTGAGCCAGCACAGCTGGCTCAGGAATTCTGGGAGTTGAAGTCCACGAGTCATAAAAGAGCCAAGGTTGACTACCCCTGCTTTAAGCAACGTGATTAATTTGCACTCGATATATTGTGTGGAATGCATTTTGTAAAACCAGGCTTACAATCTGAACCATGAAAACTAATGCGTGTCAATGGAGCTGTTTTCAGACAACGGAATGCATGCTTACTCATACATTGAGTTTACTTCCAAATCTGTTATGCTTCTAGTTTTATAGGCTGTATCCAAACCCAAAATCAAGAAGACCAGACTATCCTTTTAACTCTATATTCATATTAAAATCCTACACATATTTGCCTGGACACAGTTTCCTCTTAACATAGGATAATGCTAGAAAATTCAACCCCTGTCTGATATCTGAAAGAAAAATAGCAACCTAACTCAGAACAAGCAGAAAACTGAGGAAGATACTCAAAACAGTAAGTACAAAGGAAAAAAAGATACTATCTGGCCAGTAATTCTGTCACCTCTTCTTTGGTCATCACAACATGTTCTGGAACCAGCTGTAGTGGCAAAAAGAAAGAAAAGAATGACACAATGTGGAAATAGCTAGATTTCTACTATGCACATGAAAACTCTTCCAGGCAAATAACCACAGAAACAGCTTTTGTCAACTGAATGAGAACAGAGCTTATTTTGTTCCTCTCAATGCACTCCTCCCAGGCCCAACCAATGTCCCCAACACACACAAAAAAAACCCTCCTTCCTCACCTCATGCTCAGTGATGTTGATTAGCAGTTCCTGTTGAAGGAATTGTTCAAGGATGTACTTGGGAGCCATGTCTACTAGAGACTAAGAGAGAGAGAAAGGAAGGCAGCAGTTAGGGCTGTATATTAAGAAAGGGACTTCAGTATTTAGGAAGAGACTTGATGGGAAAAGGGGAGAGAAAGAGAGACAAAGATTGCAAATCCTCTTACTGGTATCTTAAAGCTCAAGCTCAAACTTTCTTCTTAGTTCTAGGTTGCTTCTGTCCTTGATTAGTTTCCATCCATTGCTTCTTGTCCTGCCTTCAGGTGCCTTGGAGAATAGGTTCCCTCTTCTTTGTGGCAGCTCATCAAATACTGGAGCACTCGTATCATGTCTCCCCTGGTCCTTCTTTTCACTAGACTAAACATGGCCAGTTCCTGCAACCATTTTAGCCTCAAGCCCCCTAACCATCTCTGTTGCTCTTCTCTGCACTCTTTCCAGAGTCTCAACATCTTTTTTATATTGTGGTGATCAAAAACTGGATGCGGTATTCCAAGTGTGATCTAATTTATAAAGCAGTATTAATACTTTACATGATCTTGATTCTATCCCTCTGTTAATGCAGCCTAGGGTTGTATTGGCTTTTTTGGTTGCTGCTGAACACTGTTGGCTCACATTTAGGCGATTGTCCACTAGAACGATCCTATGCTATTTCAGATGGGCTTATTCAGTGATATGGTGGCATCCATAAAGGTGAGAAATGTGCACAAATATTAAGATGGTCGGGAAACAGATTCTGAGAACTTTCTGATTTCAATGACGTTCTCGGAATACTGTCACCTCCACTAGCTTTGTTGTTGCTCAGATTTCCTAAGGCCCATTTCACTTCACATTCTAGGATGTCTGGCTCGAGGTCAGTGACCACTCCATCGTGGTTATCAGGGACGCTAAGCTCGTTCTTGTATAGTTCTTCTGTGTAATTTTGACACCTCTTCTTAATCTCTTCTGCCTCTGTTAGGTCCCTGCCATTTTGGTCCTTTATCATGCCCATCTTTGCATGAAACGTTCCCTTCATATCTCCAATTTTCTTGAAGAGATCTAGAAGAGATCAACCCCGACTGCTCTTTAGAAGGCCAGATCCTGAAGTTGAAACTCAAATACTTTGGCCACCTAATGAGAAGGAAGGACTCACTGGAGAAGGGCCTGATGCTGGGAAAGATGGAGGGCAATAGAAGAAGGGTGTCATGTGTCTGATTAACGAAACACTTAAAAGGACTTTCAGGCATATTTTTTCCCTAAAAGCATTTATTAAGGTTACAGAGACGTCAGTATGGCATGGTGGAAATGCTTAGATCTGGATTCTTTTCCGTTACACATACATTCTAAGCATTTTTCCCCGCCCCTATTTTGGGGTCATGGTTCACATCTTCCAAGTTAATTGGAAGATGTGATTTACTTCCGGTTTCTTTTTCCCGGGCTTTCACTGTTGCCTGATTTAACTATAAAAATACCAGACAGTTCTGCATATTGTCAAAGCAAGAATATACAGTATTTGCAGCGTTGACAAAGGGGACGACAGAGAATGAGGTGGCTGGATGGAGTCACTGAAGCAGTAGGTGTGAGCTTAAATGGACTCCAGAAGATGGTAGAGGACAGGAAGGCCGGGAGGAACGTTGTCCATGGGGTCGCAATGGGTCGGACACAACTTCGCAACTAACAACAACAAAATTAAAGCCCACGCCTTGGGATATAGCCTTCCCCCGATAAGAGATCACTGTTCCGTGAAAATTAAAGGTCAAAATCCCTTAGCCAGCAATGAGATTATAGCAACATCCCTTCTATCCATTTAGACTAAGGTACCTGTTTGGCAGATGGAGTCATGCCTTGTTGCACCACAATCAGGGCCCGGGTAATATTTTCCTCTTGCATTCGCTGGCAGTACATCTTGATGGTCTTAATCCCAACTTTTGGTTCCTCTGAAAAGAGATTTTTGTTGGTTTGTAAGTGGAGAATCTCCATGAAGTAAAATACTTTGTTCATTAGGCCTGACATCTGCCTTCAGGATTAGAATTCAAGCTCTCATTTAATATTAAATAAAAGGTTTAATAGTAAAGCGGGAAGCCTGCAACTCCCATTGTTTCAAACAACCCTAATTTCAGAGGCTGGAATCTTAGCCAAATAAAATTTCCAGTAACACGATGGCTGTTTCACTGTCTTACCGTATAATCAAAAACAACAGAAAGAGGATTAAGTATTTGTTAAACTGTCCAATGAAATACCATGTATTTTTATGTACTTCAAAAGCAGTTTTAGTTGAGAAATGAGTACAGCTGTGGAAGATAAAAGTTATGAATATCAAACCTCATTCATATATTATTCTTATGAATATGTGAACATTTTATCCATTATGTAAGATTTTTAGAAAAGGAAATTAGATGGTGTCTAATCTCTCTTAAGGGTATAAAATTTTTGCTTGGTCATTAACTGGCCTTTAATATAATTTTTGTTTCAAAACAGATGCCACCGCCTTCAGGAATAAATGCACTCCATCATGAAACAGTTGTTATCATCAGAAAAATTTTATTACATACTAAAACGTGTAGTTTGTTGCTATAAGAGTATTGATCAAACTGTTTTCATTTCTACCTTGCTAATAGACATTACAGTAAATAAAAAAGTTAATATGCCAGTTTCGCTGGTGCATCTACTGTGTTTTTAAAAATTAATAAAAGATACACATATAGTAAAAGTCAGCTGGCAGAAAGAACTGATGAAGAGGGATGGTGTCAGACACCCCCCCCTTACGTATCCCAATGTATTTGCCTGCATTTTATCTATTTGCCTTTGTAGCTTTTGGGGGTCTGCCATTCTGGTGGGAGGGGGGCTGCTTGCCTGGGGAATGTATTTTGCCTTGCTGCACTCTGTCCTTTCTGGGATGCCCTCCCTTCGTGAGAAAGGAACGTTACCTGAAGTCATCTGCCTTATCCTCAGACAACGGAGGCTGGGACCGTTGGGAAACGAAAGCAAGAGAGACCTTGAGATGGGCGCTAAATCACCAGCGACTCAAAACAGCCTAACATCTGTGGATTGGCTGGATTCCACCCGGACAGTTGGATATTGAGGGGAGGAGTTCTGAATGGGTATTATGATGTAACCTTTCGTGCGCAATTTCTTCAGACCTTGCTTTGCTCTACTGCTATCACTAACTCTCAATAAAGCTTCCTTTTGAAACAACGCCTGTTTCTACTTTCTTAGGAGACCTAGTCGAAGCAGGTCATTCTAGATCTTCAAAGAAAAGACTGGCTTTTAGAAACTGCAAGCTATGAAAGAAGAAACAAACAAAAACTGAATAAAAATATCACTGAATTAATTCAAGAAAAGAAAGAAGGAATGAAGATGCAATCAAACAGGTTTCTGGAAGTAATAACCAAATCTATTTTAGTATAATCACCTGGGAAAAAGACAAACATCTGATCAGTAGGATCATCATTGTGGGCCACCAACACTGTGAGATCAGTACGCCGAGGACGCCCTTCACTTGGCTTATCACCAAACTGGGCTTTGAACTCTTCCAGAGTCTGATCCAATTCATCCTGTGTTACCAAGTAGCCTCGATCATGACACAGCTGATTTAAGGACCAAAAAAAGTCAGTTTAAATATTAATATAACACTATACTGAAGGCTGCAAGTAAATATAGTGGCAAAATAGTGAACCATTCATTTAAGAATCTATACAAAGAAGTTCTAAGGCAACTTTTGATTATAAAGTAACCTCCAAAAGTAGACTAATTTTGCCAGCAATCTAAATATATCAACTCTGAAATCCCCCTCACTAGTTCTTCGATGTTTCCTCCCCCTTTTTTGCCCACTCTCATTCAAAGAAGGTAATAGTTTCCCTTAAGTCATGAGTCCTGGTAAATACTACATATGGATGCATTAATGTAGTTTTCTTGGCAACAGTATGGAAACGGTTTGTCTTCATTTAGACGGTTTTTCATTTTCCTAATCTAGGATTATTTAATAGCCTTTGATCTGATTTTAGTTTTCTGAGATCTTCCAAAGTTGACTAATAGTAGATGCTACTGCTACGTTAAGACAGATTTTGACTTGCCCCATCCCAAACTTGCAACTTTATTACAAAGTTACTATCTTTTCTTTTTTTAACTAATACAGTAATTTTGTAGCTTGGATGATAGCACAATATGTATTAATTGCAAATAAGCCGGAACGCTTACAATTACCTATTTTAAAACAATCCAAATAAAACAAATATTTAAATATTTTTGTATACGATTTGGGAAAACCGAAGCCAATTAAGAAAAATATAAAATAAAGGGAACGGGCATTTCTCCCTCCGTAACGTTGAACTCAGAATGGCAAACCCTGTCATCTGTGTGCACCCACACAACCGCCCTACCCCATTCCCAGGGCCCAATCTTCTTCCTCCTCCTCCTGACCTGCATAATTGTTTTCCGGATTTTCCATAATCGATAAGTCTCTTCTTCGTCGTCCATGACGCTCCCTGATGGGACCGCTGTGCTGTCGCAAAGAAAACCCTGGACCGGCTCTGGGAGATGACGTATTAGGCACGCGGCTTGTGGACAGTATTGCGCATGTGCGAAGAGACCGAGAGCCGAAGGGGAGAGATTGCACACGCGCGGGAGAGGAGAAGAAGGAGGAGGAGAATTTAAAGACACAGGGCCATAAAATAAATTCCCCAGCTCTCCTTGCTTTCTTCACCGTGATACTGCGCACGCGCAAGAGTTAAAGTAGGGCGGGAAAAGTAATTAAGACTAAAGTTTGTGCAAAGGGCAAGCGCAGTATAACTACAAGGCGCTGAGTCTGCCTTTATCTCTCCATCCATTCTCTGCAGCTGGAGTCCTAGTGGACAATCACCTAAATATGAGCCAACAGTGTGCTGCAGCTGCCAAAAAAGCCAACACAGTGCTGGGCTGCATTAACAGAGGGATAGAATCAAGATCACATGAAGCATTAATACCACTTTACAATACCTTGGTAAGGCCACACTTGGAATACTGCATCCAGTTTTGGTCACCCCGATGTAAAAAAGATGCTGAGACTCTAGAAAGAGTACAGAGAAGAGCAACAAAGATGATTAGAGGACTGGAGGCTAAAGCATATAAGGAACGGCTGCTGGAATTGGGTATGTCTAGTTTAATGAAGAGAAGGACAGGGGGGACATGATAGCAGTGTTCCAATATCTCAGGGGCTGCCATAAAGAAGAGGGAGTCAAGCTATTTTCCAAAGCACCCGAAGGCAGGACAAGAAGCAACGGGTGGAAACTAATCAAGGAGAGAAGCAATCTAGAACTAAGGAGAAACTTCCTGACAGTGAGAACAACCAGTGGAACAACCTGCCTCCAGAAGCGGTGAATGCTCCAACACTGGAAGTTTTTAAGATGAGACTGGACAGCCATTTGTCCGAAATGGTATAGGGTTTCCTGCCTGAGCAGGGGGTTGGACTAGATGACCTTCAAGGTCCCTTCCAACTTTACTATTATTATTATTATCATGACAGATTTGATGAAAGGAGCATAGACTTAAGAAAAAGTAACAAAGCTCTCCGAAGAGAGGAAACTCATATCAGGACCAACCTCATATGCCTAATATTTAGGGCTAGCTGGCAAACCGTACTCAATGAGTAGTCCTCAATGGCACCACATCCACACACAGAGAAGTAAGCAGCGGGGTACCGCAAGGTTCCGTCTTAGGCCCAGTACTCTTCAATATCTTCATAAATGACTTAGATGAGGGAATTGAAGGGGAACTATCAAATTTGCAGATGACACCAAACTGACAGGAGTAGCCAACACCCCGGAAGACAAACTCGGGATCCAAAAAGATCTTGACAAACATGAACAATGGGCCCTATCCAACAAAATGAGTTTCAGTGTGGAGAAAAGCAAAGTTTCACATTTAGGTAGGAAAAATCAAATGTACAAGTACAGATTGGGCGAGACCTGGCTTAAAAACAGTAACTGAGAGGGACCTTGGAGTCCTAGTGGACGATCACTTGACTATGAGCCAGCAGTGTGCAGCAGCAGCCAAAAAAGCTAATACAATCCTGAGTTGTATAAACAGGCATAGAATCAAGATCACGCAAAGTATTAGTACCGCTTTATAAAACCCTAGTAAGGCCACATCTGGAATACTGCAGCCAATTTTTGTCACCATATCACAAAAAAGATGCTGAGAGTTTGGAAAAAAATCAGAGAAGAGCAACTAAGATAATCAAAGGCCTGGAGATTAAAACATACGAAGAATGGCTGTGGGACCTGGGTTTGGCTACTCTAAATAAAAGAAGAAACAGGGGAGACATGATAGCAGTATTCCGGTATTTGAGGGGCTGCTACAAAGAAGAGGGGGTCACGTTATTCACCAAAGCACCAGAGGGCAGGACAAGAAACAATGGTTGGAAAGTGATCAAAGAGAGAAGCAGCCTGGAATTAAGGAGAAACTTCCTGATAGTGAGGACAATCAACCAGTGGAACAGCTTGCCTTCAGAAATCGTGGGTGCTCCATCACTGGAGGTTTTTATGAAGAGACAAAACAGTCACTTGTCTGAGATGGTATAGGTTCTCCGCTTGAGCAGGGGGCTGAACTAGAAGACCTCCAAGGTCCCTTCCAGCTCTATTCTTCCCTAGATAGTGTTATCGAAGCAATGAATATGAATTTAGGCAAGCTATGGGAGACAGGGGAGGACAGGTGTGCTGCAATCCATGGAGTTGTGAAAAGTTGGACATAATAACAACAACAACATGTTCAATTCTCAGCTAGGACTAAGCTTTGGAGTGTTTTGACCACAAATTTTAAAGGAAATCACAACTGGTTGGGATTGTGCAGTTGATCAACCCAACTCAAGTGCATCCCATTAAGTGGTACAATGTGAGTCCTTGAAGACTTTCGGCAGATTGATTATGGCACATATTTTTATGAGCTCTTACACCCGAAAGATTATGCTGTGTTGGCAGGTTTATCTATACAGTACACAGCTCAAATGTAAGCAATGAAGTCAGGTAAAAATGGAATACACAAACCACTGTCAGTTATAATTAAAGTTAAATGTATGTAGAATAGATGCAGTGATCTGACACAACAAGAGTAATTGGGGATCATCCCTACTAAACGTGTGCATTTGGAACTCCCTGCTTACCTAGGTCAGATTAACCAGCCTAGATAAAAATCACAATTCTCTTGTGGTTAACTTTCTGCTGGTAGGAGATACATATATATGCATAAACATACTCATGCAGACACATTCACTGCTCATTGGTGTCTAAAATAATTTGATAGGTATTATTTTAAATTATAATTGTGTTTTAAATTGTGTCTTTTAACCTTTTATTTAACCTGCTTTGGTTGTGTGTTGGAAGGAAGGTAAGGTTAAAAAAAGAATAAATCCTGACTTCTCTGAGATTATTAATCTCTACTCATTTAGGATCAAGTCCACCCCTGCCCTTTTCCCAATCCAGACCTCAGTTAACAAATCCTAAAGTTGGATGGGTTATTGAAACCAACCCCCCACTCATTTTAAGAATCTACAGGTAGTCCCCAGTTTACAACTATATTTGGGACTGGAATGTCCATCATAAATCATTGCGGTTATAAATTGAGTCAGACCAGAATTTATGACAATTTTTACAATGGTTATTAAGTGAATCACAAGTTTGTTAATTGAATCCAGCTTCCTCAATGGGCTGTTTTTTGCTGGAAATTAGAAAAAAAATGGTTGCAAATCAGTCACTGGACCATAAGATGCTTAAATCAGTCATAAATGTGAGCCAATTGCAATCATGTGATAGCAGGGATAAGTATGAATTCAGGTTGTAAGTCACTTTTTCCAAAGCCATCTTAACTTGAACCATTATTATATGAACAGTCGTAAGTCGAGGACTACCTGTATTTTAAAGCAACAAGGCAACTGTCGAGTCTTCTTGAACACATCCAGCACATGCTCTTTTTGATATTCAGTATCATTATGAAACTGCCCTGAAATGTTTATTAACATTTAATTGGAATCATCATTATCTATCTAGACCCATACCAGTCGGGCTTCAGGCCGGGGCACAGCACGGAAACGGCATTGGTCGCGTTGGTTAATGATCTCTGGAGGGCCCGGGACAGGGGATATTCCTCTGTCCTTGTTCTTTTGGACCTCTCAGCGGCTTTTGATACCGTAGACCACGATATCATGCTGCGGCGTCTCGGTGGGCTAGGAGTGGGAG